ACATAGCTAGAACAGGGTTCAAACTTAGGTTTGTGTTTAAGTATAAACTGCCTTCCCTCTTGGGAACAGAAAGAAGAGAGTTCATTGTAATTAGAAATTGCATAACAGCATCTTGTGTTCTCCAGAATCGAAGCACTTGGCTTACGGGGCCATCAGTGTGGCTCTGAGATCACACGGCTACCCCACCCCCTGCTGCTGCCCCCGGCCTCGGGAGCACCGCTCTGACTTGGGAGTGTTGGACCGCAGGCACAGCCATCATCCCTAACAGGCTTCTGCCTCAAGCCTCCTGCACCATCAAAAATATAGGCCCCTGTTGATTTAGAAATGAGTTACATAAGTACTTCTTCCATTACTTTAAAATTTTTCTCTGGCTATTAAGGATTCAAGGCATACTCTTGAGAAGGCAGCATGCTTGTCCAAGCAAGCAGAAATTTGAGAAACACTTTGGTGTCCGTCCATGCCTGAAGTTGATGACTTATTTGCAACCTTGATAACTGAGTCCTTTGTGCCAACAAATTGCTTAAATCGCTTCAACCACTCTCTCACCCTATTTTTCCCTTGACTTATTCTGTCACCATGGATATGTGATCATGAAACAGATTGGTGATGTCACCTCTGAGTTTTCATTATGTGGGATTCAGTATGGAAAACAGTTCTGGGTTTTTTTTTCCCCCAAGCTGTTATAATAAACACACCACTGTTTCTTCTTTACCAATATATATTGAGTAGTAACTGCTCCAAACCCAAGGTGAGACATACAGGAAATAATGGGTGCAGCCATCCGGACAGGTGACACTGCTCATCTCCCCCAGTAGGTTTTATGTGCCCTTGGGCTCACCCCAACCCCACACCAAGCAAATTCACTGATTGGCATGTTTTCTGTAGGTAACTTTTGTGAGATCTAGCCAGGGCTGGATGCAGCCTAGGGCCATGGAATAGAATGAAATAAAGTAACCACATTGGAATCAAGCCCACAGGCAGAAAGAACCATGTTATTCTCGATCATGACCTATAAGGCTCTGAGGAATCCAGTCTCTTTCTCCATCTCTATCTTCACCTCAGTCGTTCCTGTCCCCCTACAGCTCTTGTTCTCTCTGCTCTACCTGTGTTGGGAGTCCCCAGGACCACCCTTGGTTGTGATGATTTGCTAGAGGGACTCACAGAAAAGCTGGTATCCTCTCCATTATGGTTTAATGCAGTGAAAAGATACAAATTACAGTCAGCAAAGGAGAAAGTCACATGGGGCAGAGTCCAGGAGAAACCAGGTGGGAGTTTCCAGTTACGCTCTCTGAGTGGAGTTGCATGGACAGTGCTTAATTCTCCCAGCAGCAATGTGTGACAACACATAAGAAATATTGCCAACCAGGGTAGTTCACCCGGGCTGTGGTGTCCAGGGTTTTTGTTGAGGGTCATCATGTATCATGTAGTCAACACCTGTATAACTGACCTTATCTCCTCAGTCTCCAGCCCCAACAGAGGTCAAATTGATATGGAAGGCCCCAAACAGCCTCAGCATATAAAAACAAGGATTCACCATGTCCCTTTGTTAACACAGACTATCTGACCTGGCCCAAGGTCTCAGATATACAAAGGCATTCTTATCAGGCAGGATATTCCAAGAGCTCAGAGGTCATCTTGCAGGAGCTGGTCCAGGGGCAGTCCTGAAGACCTTTGGAATGTATAAGTTTGGGGCAACCCATGCCAGCTGAATTAACCCTTTCCTGCATGTTACCAGATGCTTTGTGCTCTCTCTGCATGACAGTCTGGACCCATACTATTCCTTTGCCTGAAATGATTTGTTCCCCAGCTCTGCCTAGCTCCCAACTTCTACCCCTACTATTGGTCTCAGTTTAACATCATTTCCTGGGGAGTGGCGTCCAACCACCTCCACATATACTCATACATATTACCAAAGCATCTGTCCTTCTACTTTGCAGCCCTCTGCTCACTTATAATAATTCACGCAGTTGTTTAATTTTTCTCTTTCCTACTAGAGTCTAAGGACTGTGCCCATACTCATAGCATCCAGCACAATGCTTGGCACCTGGGTGCTCAATAAGCATGTGGCAACTGACTAATTGACATGCCATCACCTGCCTGGGTATCTGCACATAGACGAAGAAGTGGGAAGAAAAGAATAAACTTTGGAGTTGTATAATATACTGGGGAATACATTACACGTGTACACCCCTAAGTGTGCATGCAAAGATGGACACATACAATTAGAAAAGATGCAATGTATAAATACTTAATGATGGAGTGATTAAAGAGATAAGAGGAGTGCATCTGGTAGAATTCACAAAGTTGAACCTTCAGTAAGATGTGGAGGGTGTGGGCAGATAGCCTAAAGGGATATACAAATTTGGATGTTATTAAAAATACGAATGTTAGGGCTTCCCTGGTGGCGCAGTGGTTGAGAGTCCGCCTGCCGATGCAGGGGACACGAGTTCGTGCCCCGGTCCAGGAAGATCCCACGTGCCGCGGAGCAGCTGGGCCCGTGAGCCATGGCCGCTGAGCCTGCGCGTCCGGAGCCTGTGCTCCGCAAACGGGAGAGGCCACAACAGTGAGAGGCCCGCGTACCGCAAAAAAAAAAAAAAAAAAAAAACGAATGTTATAAGTCAGGTCCACACAGGGAGGCTTAGAGAGAGAGACGGGCAAGATGAATGGGTGTCAGTAAGGGAGAGGGAAAGATGTAGGGAGTCAGCTGGCATGGATGAGGGCAAAACCTCATCCAGTGAGTAGCAGAAAACACATGGTTAGATTAAGGCAGTGAAAGGGCAGCAGAACCTCACACCAATGGGATCGTATCTGGTTCAAAGTGTGGAGTCACCACTGGCTTCTGAGCAGAAGACATGTCACTAGATTCCATTTTTCTTAAGTTACACAGTGACAGATTGACCCCATTACTTAGCAGCAGTACAGTGCTTTATGGTTTAACATTGCCAGTGAGAGACAAGGTCTTACCGTGGCTGATTTTTAAGTCTTTTCAGAAGAGAAGAGTTAAGTAAGAACCTGTCCCTGCTTGCTGGAAGTTAATGACTTTAATGCTTTGCAAAAGAAAGTAAAAGGGTTGTTAAGTCAGAGTGCTCATTCTCTGGGCTTGCAGGTTATGATTTTTTAATGCTTTTCAAATGGAAAAGGATCTCAAGTGCGTGTCGTCCCTACATGCTAGAAATATGGGCCTTTCCAACGGCAGCTGGCAGTGGCTCCTGCACACCCACTGTTCTGGCTGATCCACTGGTGTCACATTTTACATCTTGGGCTGTTAATCCAATTCAGAGGCCTACAGGGGTGGTGACTCCCAGTGCTACATTCAGCCCGGCGGCCCAGTATTTTTCCCTATTGTCCCAAGGCCAAACTTTCCTCCTCCTTTGCACCCCTGCTCCCCAGCCGCACCCCTGCTCCCCAGCCCTCTCTCCCATTACATCTATCGCCTTACCTTTGAACTTGTCTTCTTTTCTCCAAATAGTGGTCAATTTGTCAAATACAGAGGAGCCAAACAGACCAAAAGACATATTCTCCTGTAAGTGGAGGGCATGGTGTGTGCGCAGGAGGGGTAGTGCCAGGGACGCCAAAGACAGCTCCCACCACGGGAACATGCAGGGTCCTCAGAGGCGTCAAGACTGCTACAAATGCCAGAGCACCCTGGGTCCCAGGCTCTCCTGGCTGACACTCTCCAGCTGGAGACCTGGAGAATAACAGACCCGCATGGGCACCCAGAGAGCCCTCTCCCACCCCTCACAGGAGGCTTCAGAGCTCAAGGTGGGACTGGGTGGGGAGGGTGCCCTGGGTCTCCAACTTTGCTCTTCAGTCCCGAGGTCCTGGATCTGGCACGTGTATTCAAAACCTTCCAGGACAGGAAGGAGGCTGGAAATACATGGAGAGGTCCAGACCCATTCAGGAGTCAGGCTGCCCCCTTGAGAGCTTAAGAGTGACCCTCAACCCACTCCAACCTATTTCTGCTAATCTGATAACCTGGAAGGCACAAAGGAAGTCAATTGGTGGCGGAAGGTGGGGGGATAGTCAGAAAGGAATTAGGGAAATGCAAATTAGCACAAGAAGATATGATTTGATATACATCAGGTTGGACACACATAGACACCAAATCTCAAGATACCAAGGTTGGCGAAGCTAAGGGGAAATTAAAACTGTCAAATTTGCTGGGGGATGTATAAAATGGAACAATAGCCTTGGAGAGTAATATGCCGAGCTCACCTGAAAATTCAGCCACTTCACTTTTATATGTATATTCTGGGCAAAGTCTGTATGTGAGCAACCTAGAAACATGTATGAGGCTGTTCGTTTATTCATTAACTCAACACAAGTTTACTGAGCAACTTCTTTGTGCCAGGCATACTTCTAGGGACTCAAAAGTAAGCATGAACAAAATAAAAATCTCTTGTGAAGTGTGTATGCAGCATTGCTTAAATAGCCAAAAGCTGAAAACAACCTAAAAATATATTGTTAGGAGAACAGATAAACACTGAACCAGATATACAGGCATCAAGGTAGATTTATCTTGGAAACATGTTGTGTGCATAGGAAAGAAACCTGCAGGAGTATTAGGTACCGAATAGCATTTGTGTAAATGAAAACAAACAATACTATACATTGTTTATGGATACATACGTTTTACAAATAAATGGTTTGGATATCAACCAAACTCAGGATCTTAACTGCCACCTGGAAGGCAGGGAGGTGAAAGAATAGGAGAATTTCAAGTGTAACTGGAATGTTTTGTTTCTTAAAAAGAAAACATCTGAAGCAAACATATAGGTTAAAATGTTAGCATTCTATATTTTGCATGTTAAGCACACAGATGTTTCTTTTAGCAACCTAGGTCCTTTTTTGGTTTTAATTCAAGATGGAGAAGTTTTTGTTTTGTACCGCTTTCAAATTTTGGAAAAGATTTGGAGGAGAGGAGGATTAAGACCACATCTCCCAGCGACCCAGGGGCTGGAGCCTGCCCTAAATACACCTCTGGGATCTCATCCTCAACAATGACTACCTGCGGGGCCAAGGGACCGCGAACTAGCGAAAAGAAGAACTGCGTCCAGCAGCTCTCGGCACGGCCGCCCAGAATCACAGCGAGCTGCGCGGCGCCCCCTGGAGGCCCGACCGAGCTCGGCACCTCTGTAGGTGAGAATAAGGAGCTCCGGAAATGCCCCCGCTGCGGTGGGAGTGGAAACTCAACAACAGCTTTGAAGAGCAATCTGGCACTATCTAGTACAGTTGGAGAGGCAAGTACGCTATTATTCAGAAATTCCGATTTTAAGGTTTTACCTTAGAGAAACTCTCAAATATGTGTCCAAGGAGACGTGTACAGATGTTCTTTGCAGCAGTGTTTATGATGGTCAAAAATTGAAAATGGCACCATTATCGATCTTGAGGAGAATAAATCAAGTTAGATGTATGTATCCAATGAAATTCTATGCCACCGTGGACATGACAGCCAGAGCCACCTGTGTGAGTGTGGATCCATCCATCTCACAAAGCATGCTGAGGACCTGGGTGAGTTACAGAATCCTCCCACAATAAAACTACTGGCATAAAATGTAACTATGCAAACAATGCTATGTATTGTTGATGGATACACACACATGTAAAGAAAGTATAAAAACAACATGGGAATGACAAATACCAAATTCAGGAGTTACTTCTGGGAAAGAAGGGAGGAAAATAGAATTGGGAAGGAATCCAGAGGTGGGGTGTCTTCATTGTGTACTACTTTATTCCTTTGAGAAAGACAATATCTGAAGCAAATATGACATTTTAGAATTAAATAGAGCTGAGTGGTGGGTACCCAGGTGTTTCTTATGTTATCTGTTATGCATTCCTTTCTTTCTTTCTTTCTTTCTTTCTTTCTTTCTTTCTCTTGATAATCAGGTGTACTGAGGTATAATTTACATACAATAAAATTTTACTTTTCTGAATGTTTAATATTATACACACACACACACACACACACACACACACACACACACACACACCACAGAGAGTGAAGGCAGAGGTGGGGTGGGGTCAGAGCCTCTGAGGCAAAGGGAACAGCAGAGTAAGGCTGCATGGAGGGAGGAGCTGTGGTCGTTAGCAGAACTGAAGGATCATCCACAGCAAGGTGAGAGAAGTGGGTGGTTTCAAAGGAAGCAGGAAAGAGAGGTAGGGCTCCCCCTGCTGGTCATTATAAAAAGGGCTATGTTTTATCCTCAGCGCAATGGAGAGAGACATTGGAAATTTTAAGCCAAGGAGTGTTTACGCTGGGTCTGTTTATCTTCTGTGTAGGTCATATCTCTGTGTCAAATGCATGGGAGGGCAAGAGCAGAGGTGGGGAAAAGAATTAAGAGGCTTCCACAGTAACGGAGGCAAAAGATATCAGAAGATCCACTATAATGGTGGCAGTAAATATGGGGAGGATCAGGTGGATTCGAGATATATTTTGGAGAGAAGCCAATAGAACTGGGTAAGAGATTAGCTGTGAGGAATGACTCTGAAGTTTCTTAGTAGCTAGTGGTGGTTCTTCCTGAGATGAGAAAACATGGGGTGGAGGGCAGGGACAGTGGAAGGGTAGTTTGTTCCCACCAAGGAGAAGGATGAAGGATTTTATTTTGGATAAGTTAAGTCTGAGATATTTGTGAATTACCCCAGCGGAGGAGGACAGACAACGGTTGTATATTCCAGGTCGAAGTCTACCAGAGAGGTCGGGTCAGGTCAGGATTTGGTGTTGCTGTCCACTATTTAAAGCCATGGGACTAGGGAGACAGTGTAACCAGTGAAGAGAAGTGATGGGAAGGGGAAGGGAAGGGACCCCAGGACTGAACTCTGAGGACCCCTATGTTCAGTGTCAGGTTGAAGAGAAGGATCCAGCAAACAGACTAAGAAGGAGAGGCCAGAGAGGTAGGAGGGTGATCCAGGAGAGGGCTATGAGATGGATGCCAAGAAAGAAAAGTTACTCCGAGAGGGAAGCAGCTCGACTGTTGGAAATGCTGCTGAGTAGCCAGATGACCAGAGGGCAAGGAACTGTCTTTGGGGCTGGCCACACAGGAGTCATTGTGACTGTGACAGAAGCGGGTCAGTGGTGCAATGGGGGCCGAAGCCAGACCATCGGAGACTGAGGAGTGGGTAGGGATTGCAGAAGAGGAGACGGGGAGTGTGGGCGACTCTTTTGAGAAGCTTGGCAGTAAAGGGAGGAGCAGCCTGGGTGGAAGCTGAAGGAGATGAAGAAGGCAGAGGGCAAGTTTTGTCTGTTTTGAGATGATATTTGCGCATGTTGATATGCAGATGAAAAGAACCCAACCCGGTGGAGAGAGAAATTGGTGGTGGGAGGACCGCACGGAGTGAATGCAGGGAAGACAGGAACGAGAGTGAAATCCAAGCTGCACAGTGAATGCAGCTGAGCCAGGATTATAACTCAGATCTGTCCGACTCCAAACACCATGCTCTTTCCCAGATACCTCATTGCCTCTTTTTAGTTTTTATTTGCTCACGGGCATCCAATTCCCAGGGTCCAGTGCGCTGAATCCTTTACCACCACCTTCTCTAAGTACACAAGTCAACAGTCTTCCCATTTCCATCTGGGCTCTGTGTCTATGCAGGGAACTGGAGGAGAAAATAAGAAAACTGAAGAAAATGAAATCTGACCTATCTTATGCATTCTGGTTAAATGCATGAAATAGATTATATTTGACAGTGGTAAACAGACAACCTCAAAAACCCAATTTATTGCTTTAATTATATATGCTTTTCTTCCTCAATCTCCAGGGAAGCATGTGCCTCCTTCCATTTTCAGCCGCTTCTATGGAGCCATTCCCTAATTCTAAGACTGCTTTTGGTGACCACAGGCTTCTAGGCTGCCCTATCTGAACCGCAACTGAAAAAAACTTTAACATGCTACTTAGGAAAATATATGCAAGGAGGAATGTAATGGATATGTATACAATCAAAAGTAAGGAAATACAGATGGGATGCAGCTGTGATTCAAAGAAACATAGATTAAATGGAACCCCCCCCCAACCAAAGAAATTGACGATCTTCCATTGCCAGGAAGGAAGGAATAGAGGTACTGAATTATTTGGATACTAGGCTAACTCAGAGACAGCCAAGCACCTTAGGTAGGGCAATCCCACCCTAAGACCAAGAGAATGGAAGCAGGGGTGAGAGGACCTGAAGAAGGGCAGATCAGGTGACAATTCAGCAGCCCTCCAGCTGGCTATTACTGGGCATAAGCAGGACCAGTAAGAGGGGAGCCTCTGCTGTATCTCAGTCTCCATCCCACACATGTCTGTTGAACCAGGCACTGAATGCACAGCAAAGAACAAGACAAACTTGCCCCATGCCCTCTGAGAGCTTGCAGTCCTGTGGAGGGAATGCACACAAGAGGCGATTACAATGCCGGATGGGGGTGCCAAATGCTGAGACAGATGTATGTGCCCCTCAGCCAGCCTGGGCTGGGGGATGGGGGTGGTCAGGAAAGAGCTTCCATAGGAATGGTTATGTAAACTGAAATCTAAGGCACGACTGGGATTCAGGCAGACTGGCAGTGGGGAAATGATAAACAACAGAAATACAAAGCATGCACACATGCACGATACCAGTTATCCAAAAGGGTCATAGTATGGGAAAGTTTGGGGCAAATCAGAGTCGTGACACCCAGGTTTTTGACTTGCACAGTGGGGTGGTGAGTGGTGCTGCCAGCTAACACAGGAAACACCAGAAGAGGACCAGGTTCGAAGGCAGGGGCTGGGTTCAGTCTCAACAGTTGAGCTTATGAAGCCTCTGAGACCTCCACACAGAGCTCTCTGGTAAGCAGTTTCATATCTTTAAAAAAAAAAATTTATTGGAGTATAGTTGATCTACAATGTTGTGTTAGTTTCAGGCGTACAGCAAAGTGAATCAATTATACTTATACATATATATCCCCTCTTTTTAGCTTCTTTTCCCACATAGGCCATTACAGAGTATTGAGTACAGTTCCCTGTGCTATACAGTAGGTCCTTATTGGTTATCTATTTTATATATAGTAGTGTTTATATGTCCATCCCAATCTCCCAATGTATCCCTCCCCCAGCAGTTTCATATCTTAAATGCAAGGTTATGACCTGCATTAGAATGACAAATATGGGAGTCTGCATTAGAAGTGATCATTTAAACCATGGGCACAGATGAGACTATTGAGTGAGAGACTGTAAACTGAACAGAGAACAGGGCCCGGGACTGGGGTCAGAAGAACATCTTCAAAGACCCTGGAGGAGGGAGCAGAGCCTGCCGAGAGTGGGGAGGAAAACCAGGAGAGGTTTCCTGATGTCCCAGTGTTCAGGGAAGGAGGGAGTAATCAGCAGTAACGATGTGAGCACGAAATCAAACAGAGTGTGAACAAAACCCCACCCACTGGATATGCTGGAGACATGAAGGAGGCAGAAGCCAAATTGGAGTGGGTTGAGGGGTGATTGAGAGGGGAGCAAATGGAGACTGGGGGATGGCAGAATGCACGTCGGCGCTTCCCAAACTCTTTCACTTTGTGGCACATATAGAAAATTATATATATATTTTTAATTTATTTTATTTATTTATTTTTGGCTGTGTTGGGTCTTTGTTGCTGCACGAGGGCTTTCTCTAGTTGCAGCGAGCGGGGGCTACTCTTTTTTTTTTTTTTAAAGGTGTAATACTCTTTTTTTTAATTTATTTATTTATTTTTGGCTGTGTTGGGTCTTCGTTTCTGTGCGAGGGCTTTCTCTAGTTGTGGCAAGCGGGGGCCACTCTCCATCGCGGTGCGCAGGCCTCTCACTGTCGCGGCCTCTCCCATTGTGGAGCACAGGCTCCAGACGCGCAGAGCTCAGTAGTTGTGGCTCACGGGCTTAGTTGCTCCACGGCATGTGGGATCCTCCCAGACCAGGGCTCGAACCCGTGTGCCCTGCATTGGCAGGCAGATTCCCAACCACTGCGCCACCAGGGAAGCCCGGGGGGCTACTCTTCATTGTGGTGCGCGGGCTTCTCATTGCGGTGGCTTCTCTTGTTGCAGAGCACGGGCTCTAGGCACGGGGGCTTCAGTCGCAGGCTCTAGAGCACAGGCTCAGTAGTTGTGGCGCACGGGCTTAGTTGCTCCGCAGCATGTGGGACCTTCCCGGACCAGGGCTTGAACCCATGTC